ATTTACCAAATTTGGACATGAGCTAATTGGCTAGATGTGAAAAATAACTGTATATAAAGGGTTTAGTCTCTCCAGCTCCCTCTGACTTTAATGCTGGCGCTATGACTATGAGTTAATATTGGCATGCATATGTCCTAAAGTCATGACAGTCATCAAGCATGACAAGTTTGGGACAGTTTTGACAAAGTACAGTCGAGTTACAACAGCTTGATGGATGATGGCGAACCATGTAAAATGGCCACCACACCACGTCCATGTCGTTTGACAGTAACTTTGATTCACTAAGGTCTTTAGAGTGTTCTGAACAAATTGATCTCAGTTGATCTGAATAATTCCCTAGGAGTTTGTTAAAGTACAACACCTGGAAATGGCAAAAACGACACTAGAAATTGATGATGCTTCATCATGAATATTGTGAGTTGTCATTAAACACTGTTGCCGTGGCAATGCGTCATTCGCCATGAAAAATTAAGCTTATTTTTCTGTGACTTAGGATGCTCAACAAGCCTTGGAACTTTGCACAGGTGTCATAGGTGATGGAAATAAATATTTCATATGGCTTTTTAGCTTGACCCTTTCAAATTGCCTCGATAGCGCCCCCTACAAATATTCAAAATCGCAGCCCCAGCACTACATTTGACCTACATGTATGAAATTTGGTAGGCACATGTATCACATGAAGACTTAAAAAAAAGTGTCTTGGGACCATGCTCTAAAATTAACGGGAAGTCGGCCATTTTGATTTTTGTGTGAATTTTCCCATGATTTCTAGTCGCTATACTTTTTTTTTTTTTTTATAATTTTTTCTTGAAAGACAAGAGACAATATTAGACAATACATAGACATAACAACAAGAGGATGACAAGAACAGTGGGATAAAAGCTAGCAAACATCATATAGTCGGTGGGTGTGTGTGTGTATACGTGTATGTGCGTGTGTGTGTGTGAGAATGTCCTTGAGCCTTTTGAGATGGAAGGGAAAAAATAAAAAATAAATAATAATAATAATAATAATAATAATTAAAAAACAACAAACCAAAAAAAGAAGAAAAAAAAAAGGTAAGTATGTGTGCAAATGGATGTTCATGTATGCATGTACGTGGGTTTCAATTGGTTGTCAGGCAAGAAAAACAACAAAACAAAAATCAATAATAGTAATAAATACATAAAAAATATATATATATATATACTATACAAATTTTAATATTAATAGAATGGGTGGTGTCACGTTTGCAGAAACATAGTGAGGGATGACCAGGTAGAGTGGTGTTCTGTTGTATTGTATACGATGGACGATGTTAGAATTTCCATTGAAATATACTCTATCATTAAGTTTCTCCAATGTGTGATGTGTGTGTTGTTCCTTTATTTCCAGTTCATGAGGATAGTTTTCTTGGCGATAGTTAGGGCCACGAGGAGTAATTTGCGATTTGTTTTACTCAGATGTATTGTTGAGATGTCTCCTAGTAAGCACAATGAAGGGGATAATGGGACGAGGCAGCCCAGGAAGACAGACAGTGACTCAGTTATTTCTTTCCAAAAGTGATTAACTGGTGTGCAGTGCCAGGTGGCGTGAACATAGCTATCCGGGCTGTTTTGAGTGCAATGTGGACAGATATCTGACGTGAATCCCATTTTAAACATTTTTGCCCAGTGTAATGAATTCTGTGAAGTATTTTATACTGTATTAGTTGTAAATTGGCATTTTTAGTCATGAAGTAGATGTTATTGCAGATTTGGTTCCAGAAATCAGCATCAGGAGTGATGGAGAGGTCTGATTCCCATTTTCTTGATGGTATGGATGATGTTTTGTCAGACTGTGATATTACTCTACATATTTTTGAGATTAATTTTTTTATCGGAGGGGATATTAATTAATTCTGAGGTTGAGGGGGTAGTTCTAGGTTAGTGGCCTTAGTGTTAAGTTTGGATTGAACGGATGATTTGAGTTGCAGATATTCCAAAAATTGATTGCTCCTGATGCCGTACTTCTGAACCAAGTGAGGGAATGAAACCATGGTGTTATTATTGAAGATGTGTTTCAGATGAGTGATGCCTTTAGCGGACCATGTGTGAAGATTAAGAGGTGTCTTGTGACTTAGAAAATCAGGATTGTTCCATATGGGAGTAAAATTTGAAGGTGCAAAAGTGATGTTAGTGATTTTGTGGAATTTCCACCAGGCTGTCAGAGTTTCTACTATTGTTAGTATATTGAAACAAGGATGGCGTTTGATAAATTGGCTTAAAAATGGTAGGTCAGAAATCTGAATGTCCTTACAAACTGTCTGTTCTATATCTAACCATGTGTTGTCTGATTGGTTGGGGTGGATCCATTTAAGAATGT